TTCACTGTCTTAACATCGCTGGTTTGCGCAACTTTGCTTAGTTGGCGTAATCTTGGAGGATCATCAAACTTTTCATGGTCCTAAGTTGCTAAAAATGGCAAAATATCGCTAGCTGCGCAACTTTGCTTAGTTGGCGTAATCTTGGAGGATCAACAAACGTTTCATGGTCCTAAGTTGCTAAAAATGACAAAATATCGCTAGTTGCGCAACTTTGCTTAGTTGGCGTAATCTTGGAGGATCAACAAACGTTTCATGCAGGGGTTAATGGTAACTCCAAAATCGGTGAAGTTAATATTGTGAAAATATCACCTGTAGACCAGTTAATATAAAAAATATCACCTAATATTTTCTTTTGAGACAATATGATATTATTAAATATCAACTTAATATTAGTTAATACGATATTATATTTTTCAATGATTGCGTAGTCGGGCTACATTAACTAATCAGATGTCGTTAACGCTCGACTAGCTGAAGTATTACTAATCAACCGTGAGTACCGGGACAATTGTGAGTGACGGCAAGGTTGGCGTTGTGTGTTGGCACTGCTGAGCGCATTAATCTAGCGCCACAGGCAGCAGGTTTATTAGACGCACGATGTCGACGAGGAGATCGGAAGAGAACAAGAACAAATGTCTTGATTTCGCTCTATCAACGTTAAACAGCTGCAAGCGTTTGCAGTTTTCCATCTCGATCGCCTTTGTCTGTGTCACAGTGAAATACTAGAGCAAATACTCGTCAGTCTTAAAGCCTACTGCTTTTCTAGAACCTGATCGAAAAAGTTATTTGGCTCCGCTCGGTTCACAGAGGTAAGCTGGCAAGAAACGTACTTAAGTGGGAAAATATCATAAAATATCATGTAGTATCTAATATTTTTCAGTTCTCCGAGCTAATATAAAAATATTATGTTAGCTTTTGCAAAAATGAGTTACTATTAATATTTAATATCGAAAATAGTACTATTACTATCAAAAATATCATATGATATTTGGTTACCATTAGCCCCTGGTTTCATGGTCCTAAGTTGATAAAAATGACAAAATATCGCTGGTTGCGCAACTTTGTAAAGTTGGCGTAATGTTGCAGGACAACAAAATTTAATTTGCTATAATGGCAAACCTCGCTGGCTGTGCAACTTTGCTGAGGTAGGCGTAAGGTTGCACGATGACAAACGTTTCGCAGCCCCTAATTGGGTACCGGACCAGAGGCTCCGGGGATCGCAGTTTGAACCCTGTGCAAAAAGGGTAAAACGGTGGCAATGAGGGGGCCAGTAGAAAAGGTGTTAAGTAACGGTGCTAAGTAGATGTTGTGAAGTAGATGTTGGTTAGACTTAGATTGCGCATGCCTGTGTCAGTTGTGAGTGAGTGAATGTATGTCAAGTTGTCGTAGATCTTTTTCGAGATGCATACGTAGGCTGTTGAAGATGAATGTGGTGGAATCACGGTGGGGTCACTGTCCCGATGTGGTATACCTTGGTTTCGACCTGGCAGCAGTGGCGGTACAAGCGTAGTTTGGTTGGTACGAAAACGATAATGGAGCCAAGAGACGGGATACTTGGGTTGTCAGCTGCAATGTCGTACAACGACAGAGTGATTAGGAATTGGTTGGCGTGGAAGAGATCGTCGCGCTGTGCCTGTTGGTATTCCTGTAGAAGAGTTGGTACGGATGTAATATATATATTGAAGATTGTACTGGAGACTTACCGTTTGTTGTTCGTGGAGTGACTCAGGTGCTCTTTGTTCGCCGAGGTAGAGACGCAGGAAGCGTAGGCCGTGAATGTATTCGTTGACAGTCCATAGCAGGTGCGCTTGGATTTGGAAGGATTCGCGAATGTCTGAGTTTGTGACGTCGTTGTTCTGGATGAAATTGCGTAGATCTACTGACAATTGATTGTGTTAGTACTAAAACAAGAGTTGGCAGCTAGGATATGTACCGTCAATGCTGTCAATAATGCGGCGCTTCTGGTGTTGCATTGTTTTCTTCATCTTCTTGATGGGCGACACGTATTCTGCGTCAGGTCGCTTGTGTTTTAGCGGTGTGGGTGTCACGCGAAGTGTTGCAGGTGACAGTATGCGCGATGAAGATGGCGCTGGTTCGGGTACGACTGTCACTAGCGTTGGTGTTGCGGGTGTTGTTGCTGACGTAGCTGTTGTCGGCATTTCGTGCTTGGAAGATCTGATGGATGGCATGGTGATTGGTGTCTGGGCGGAGCTACGCGAATTGAGGTATGGCCTGTGTTGCTCTTGAATCTGTGTATTTTCACGAAAAGTCGTGTTATCTCCCTGCTATCTCGTCGCACATAGGTAGTTAAACTTCATGTTATATGTGGGAGGAGGTTGTGGTGCGTTAAAGTTGAATTCTTCAATGTGAGCGCATGTGAGAGAGGAGGTGGCGTTGTCGGATCCAATAGTGGCGCGGTGATTGCGACGATAGGTCGCTAACAGTATTGGTGTTTTAATAGCGAGACATGGAGGGAGCGTTTAAGTTAGTTCGCGTTGTGGCGGCAAACGTTGCTGTTGGGGGCAAGTGGATTGTGTGTTCGAAGGTAAGAGGCATTATGTGTACAGTTTTGAATCCGCTGGTAACAGTTTGTGTTCACGTGTCAGGGAGAGATCTCGGTTGGCAACTGTAAAATTGATGAGGACACAAAATATGGATGTGGCAGTAACTGCATTAATCGCGCGGTACGTGGTGTAGGAATTGCATGCAAATATGTTGATATCACTGACGAGGTGTGTGACAGATGCGGTATGAATGCGCACTGGAGTGCTGTCCATGTGGGAAACGATGCTCGAATCGGCAATTACAAGTCGGATCGGCACATGGGTCAGGTGTAATTGACTGTGGTCGTAAAGGCCTCGGCGTGATCACGTTGGAGGATGTCAAAACTGGGCAATTTGTGGAAGAGTACGTTGGTGAGGTGCTGAGCAATAGTAAAGCCATGATGCGCTGTCAGGTGCGGATTTCGAAGCTATTGGCTGCTGTACAAAATGGTCACTTGACTGTAATGTTTAGGATTATCAAAAGATGAAGCATGTGTACATGCTTCAGGTAAGTGCTGATGAAGTTATCGATGCCACACGAATCGGTGGATATATGCGGTTTGTGAACCATAGCTGCGACCCAAACTGTCAAATGGAGAAGTGGAATGTACTTGGGCGAGAGCGGTGCGGATTGTTTGCGATTCGTGATGTTAAGTGTGGTGACGAGCTTACGTTCGATTATCAGCTGCAATGCGTTGATTTTGGGGTGCGTAACATTCGTATTGACGCACGTTTGAGGCAGTGCTGATAATGATTGTTGTAGAATTCTATTGAGTGTCTATGTGGTTCTCGGAATTGCAGAGGTATTATCGGCATGTCGATCGAGAAGCGATCAATTAAACGGCAGCGGTGTGTTGAATCAGAGTCGAAAAGACGAATGGTACAATTCACCATCGACGAATTTTTTTCGAAGCAATAGTTGGTCCACTGGGCTTCCCGTAGCCTATGGCAATACACTCAACTTAGCACTGTGCAATTACCCTTATATGTATCTGTTTTTTTTTCATCGATGATTTTTTTTCAAAGCAATACTTGGTCTACTGGGCTTCCCGTAGCCTATGACAATACACTCAACTTAGCACTGTGCAATTACCCTTATCTGCTTAAACACCCAAAATTACACTAGACAGCTTTCTGGTACCTCACCACGTGGCCGACCTGATAATGTAGGCGCTCATACGTTGAAGAGTAAGCTCTCGCTTGGCAATAACGTTTTCCAACTGCGCGGTGTAATAAAGACGTTCTAAAGAAACACGTCCTGTACGTAGTTTATTTGCATCGGAAAGTTTGTTTGTCGTACGCGTGAGACTAGATAACTATGTTTCAAGATGATATTGAAGTCCTCACTTTGCAGCGAATGGCATGAGCGATCTCAGCAACTACATTGCACGTGAGACTAGATAATTATGTTTCTAGATGATGTTAAGGTCCTCATTTTGCAGCAAACGGCATGAGCGATCTCAGCAACTACAGTGCGGAGCAGAAGACGGCGGACCGACGTCGCCGAAATACCGCAGCCGCGCGTCGATACCGTGCTCGATTAACACCTGAAGATCGCGAAAGGCACCGACAACAGGAGCTTGTACGACGTCGAAAGAGGCGACAGCTTTCGACTGCACCTTCGACATCAATGCCAGCACCTAGGCGAACATCTAAATCTGCTACCGCTGTTGTAAACGAGGATGACGCGCACTCAACGGTTGCATGGGGAGCCAGCGACTTCCCGCAACTGCTACCAGTGTCTTCAGTGACCCAAGGAAGCGTACTGGAACAACTGCGTGGAGCGTTGGGCGCGTCGGGGTTGGACGAGACAGTGTGCACAGTCTGCGATACATGGGCTGTACGCACACACTGCCGCATCGTTAGTGTCTTAGAGTGTGTGCAAATGAATGGCATTCGAAGGCTCCTTAGCAGTCGAGACGAAAATCTCGCTTCACCTCTGGCAAGCGAGTATGACTGCTCAGACATCCTTCCTGAGCTTGAGGGTATCCTGCTTTCGAAGCGCGGAGTCGACAGAGTGGGCCGTAGTCTACACGTTTGCAATCAGTGTGATGATAGCTTGCGGAAGCGGGAGATCCCAAAGTTTGCCATCAAGAACGGGTTTTGCATCGGTTCACTGCCGACCAATCGGCAGCAGACGACATTACCGAACGTGTGATGACCCAGTTGGTTTCTGTAATCGCCATCACCAGGGTTATGCGTGGAGGTGCCCACTGCGCGATCCGTTCTCATTGTCTTGCGTTTGACGCGACACCAGGACCACCGGCGGTGTTGTTACCTACGCAATGCGTGGCGTGACATCTTATCGTGTCGTCATGGCGGGGCCATTCACTAGTATACAACAAGCTCGTGTCCGCAAGATGCATCGCGTGCGACGAGTAATGGTCGAGGACCTACTACGGTTTTATCGCATCCACAACTCCCTGTATGCGCACGTAGCTGTTGATTGCTCACAGGTAGACGAAAACGAAGTATCCGTTGATATGTTAGATGAAGAACCCGACGCTGATATTGAGGCAGAAGACGTTGATTTAGAAGGTAGCCGCGTTGGGGGGGGTCTCTGACAACGTTTCCACTGTCACCGAGGACGAAGTAGTGGAGAGACGCGTGGTGTTTGTGTCTGACGAACGCGAGGTCGCTACCGGGAGCGAATGTTCCGCCACCGACAATCTGACAGGCTCAGGTGATAGTGCAAATACGGCTGCTGAGTTCTTCAACGAGACTTCGTCAGCTCCCCACTTTCTAGTTCGTCACTCCAGCCAGTTCTCATCGAGCCGTAAAGCGCTTTTTGCCCAGATGTTCCCCCATCTTTTCCCATACGGCCGCGGTCACCCAGGCGAGACGCGGCCCGTTCCAGTGTCACTCGAAGCTTGCATTCGGCACTACGGTATGCTGAGCTCACGGAGGCTCGCTGAAGATGAACTGTTCATGCTAGTTGCCTTTGACCACATATCGCTGAAGAAAATGTACACTCAGGTAGCGATTAAGTGCAAGCGGAGACCCGGACTGTTCGAGCCTTTCAGTGACGTGTCGGAGGAAGACTTAACACAGGCGCTCAAGCAGAAAGAGCTTTACCGCCAAGGTCAAATGGCTGCGCCTCGCAGTGGTCTGTCGACTGCGGAGAGACTGCTGCACTCAGTCGATATCAGTGGGGGCGCGATCTGGGGCAGTGATGCCGAACGTGCACAGTGTCGGCGACGAGCGTTTGCTTACCAGACACGATATGGCCCGCCCGCGCTCTTCGTCACACTGACGCCCAACGTCGCCGAGTCATTCGTGACGGCCCAGTAAACCGGTGTGTCTTCGGTCGACACGCTCTTTGACGCTGAGCTTGCAGGAGCGCCCAGCAAGTCGGTGACGCAGAGTGCGAGCTTGAAGAATGATGTTGTGAGCGCGCGGTTGTTCATGCACAACATGGATGCATTCGTTGATCATGTTCTTGGCGTGAATCCTGATGCAATGAAAGGCAAACCGTTCGATGGGCTTTTTGGAGAAGTTACTGCGTACTACGGTATGGTCGAAACGCAGGGCGGCGGGACGCTGCACGCCCATTTCCTCGTTTGGTTGGCAGACGCACCGCCAAATTCAGCAGCGTTTGACCGTGCCATCGAGACCCACGGCGAGCAGTACTACCGTAACCTTGAAAAGTATACAGATAGTATCGTGACGACATCACTTCCGCTGGATATTGCTGAATCGCACTGCCAGTTTTGTGGTGAGTCGTACGCGCATTTGAAGGAGCTGCCAATCCCAATGAATGCCTATGCAAGACCAGACCGGCGGCAAGACGGGCAGTCAGCAGAGCCGCTGCTGGTTCAATGTGGTCAGTGTGGCCGCAAGGCTAGCTCTCAACACGTTTTGCGCCGGGTGATTCTTGACCATCGCCCACCACTGTGGCCACCACCGCGGCGAGAGCATTCAGTAGACGAGCTAAAGCTGGCGGTTAGTCGCGAAGCACTTCGCCGAGGATCGACGATCGCAGCAAAGAACGCAATCTTCCGCCGTGACTGCTACTTGGCGGGCCGCAATAACAACTCCGCCAGTGAACGGAACGACCTCCGGTCACTGAGCTGTCCGCCACAGCTCAGCGAGCGCTTTCAAGACGATATGATCCGCATGGACTCAGTCAATCAAGCCGTGTTAGCAATGCCACCGTCTTTCGACGACGCTCGATGGCCGTCACACGTATTGGCCTTTGCTGTCTCGGTGCTAGTGTACTTCCTCAACATGCACTGGTGGTCACACGTTGGAAGTTGTCTCAAGAAAAAACGATCTGCTGCATCAGGCACGTGTCGGTACGGATTTCCGCGCAAGCGTATCGAGCGGTCAACCTACACTGCGGAAGGCGTCAGTGTTGCTCGCCACGTCGGGTATGAGTACGTGAATGGCTTCAACACCGTTATGATGTCCACATTCAAGTCAAACCATGACATCCAAGTCATGATTGGCGGTGCTGATGCTCTCCTGCGAATATACTATGTGACGAAGTATGTCACAAAGCCGCAAGCATTGATCGAGTCCGTGACGGCTGCTGCGCTAGCTTCCTTCCGAAGACGTCAGGCTCGAGAGCAGCTCGACCAGTGCGACAACGCTGACCGAGCAAGTGTCGGACGCCGACGAGTGGCGTCACTCACATTTGCGGTCACTAACCGCCGCGAGATCGCCGGCCCGCTCGCGGTACTGTATCTAATGAGAGACTCGTGTTGCTATATGAGTTCTCACTGTGCACCACTGCCGTTGAAAGACATCTTGAAGGAGTTGATGAATGGTGACGAGCACTCGTGCGATCTCGTCGAGCTACACGACGGCGACACGTCGGTCGCGGTGTACCGTGCGGCGTCCCTACTGGATGATTACTGCTACCGGCCGCACGTACTTGACAACTTATGTCTCTATGAGTTCGTCATGTGGCACTTCCGGCGCAAGCGAACCTACACGGCGCCTGTGGCGTCCCTTTTTCTGCCTGCACACCCTCTGAGCAACACGCACGGCATGGGTACCCACCGAACCGATAGTGTTCCAGTCGTGAGCGGCATTCGCATACCGTATGTTGATGCTGAGTCGCCGAGTGAGATTCTAGTGAAACGAAGCCACTGCGCGTTGGTGTTGTTTCACCCTTTTCGTACCTCCACTGATCTCGTCGCTGACGTCAGGAACGACGCAGTCTGGGTCAATGCATATCAACGATGGGAGCCCACACGATCGCGTTTCATCTCCCAAATAATGGCAAACTTGGACGACTTTTACCGAGTCGAGAAGCACGTGCAAGAGGCTGCCGCCGGCGAAGACGGTGATATCGATATGTTGGACGAAAACGACGACGTGACGGGGACTCGCCACGAAGTTGAGGCAATGGTTGATGGAGGCGAGTCGGTATACGAAGACCCTTCAGGTGACGAGCTCAACGTCTGCGTGATCGGGGACGAGCTCCCAGTCTTTCTGACAGCCACGCGATCTAATCTGTCTGCTGCCTCCTCAACAACCATGTACCACTCACTGCTGACGCCGGTCGCCGAGACAGCCGCCAGCATATTTGGAACATTGCCCTAGGCACCGACATTTACACTTGAGGAGCTCAATCGATATGTCAAATCATCAACGACGGACGAATCCAATCCGTCTGAGCATTACCAACAAGAGAGACCAACTGAAGTCGTTGAGCTGCTTTAAAAGCCCTTGACCCAGCCGCTGCGATATGGGTTGCGAGTGAACGACAACCCCAGCAAGGTGTCAACCATTACGCAACAATTACAGAGGTGTCACACGCGTTCACACTCAACCAACGGCAGCACGCCGCATTCACCATCATCGCAACTGCGCTACTACGAACGTTTCTGCGGCAAGAGCGGTCAGATATCGAACTCGCCACCGGCGCCATCAGCGACCACAGCAGGCATGACTTTGAAGCGAAGCTCAGAGACGAGCAATTGCTCATGTTTCTCGGTGGTGCTGGTGGAACGGGCAAAAGCCGCATCATTGACGCAGTCAGCACGTTCTGCACGAGCTGGCATCGCGAAACCTCGCTGACGAAGACAGCGCTCACAGGAAAAGCTGCTACTTTAATTGGCGCACGGACCTTGGCCAGTTTCCTAATGCGAATCAAGCACGCTATCCAGGACAAATCTTTCGCCACGCTGGACATGCTTGTCATCGATGAGGTATCGATGATGTCGAAACCCGAGTAGTTGAAACTGGATAAGCTACTGCGCAGGTACAAGCAAGTACCCAACGTACCATTCGGCGGTGTGCACATCGTTCTCGTAGGTGATTTCTTGCAAATGCCCCCAGTCGGTGCAGACGCAATTTTTGTTGATCCTACCACCAAGACACGCCCATCGACTGCTGATATCGAAGGCTTCGAGCTATGGAGGCGATTCACGACTGTTGTCATACTCGACGAGTCAGTCCGCTTTCGCAACGACCCGGAATGGGGGCGAGAATGCGCGAATGCACGTGTTGGTGAGTGGACGCAAGAGTTTGTAGACATCCTCAATAGCCGTGTAATATAGCCATCGGACGCTGAGGTTGAGGCCGATCTCACGCTGAAGGCCGGCGTGTTTGTTACCCCCGAGAATACGAAGCGACTCGCGATTAATAATGCCTTTGTTTCCCAGACGGCAACGAGGCTGCCGCCTCAGGCGTTCCCAATTCGCGTTGTGGCCAATTTCAACGGCGTGCTTAACAAGCTCAGTCGCAGCGACGTTGCATACGTGCTCGGCTTACCCGACAATCGCTTCGGGCGTATGGCACCGTACTTGGACTTGATTGCGGGCATGCCAGTCCAGGTGACTCAAAACATCGGCACCGCAAAGGGTGTTGCCAACGGCACGCTAGGCATACTTGAGAGTGTGCACTTCCCGAGCGAGCCGCCAACCACATTCCAACTCGTGCGAGACGGCACAACCGGCACAGTCGTCCAGCTTGGTAGCAAGCCATCCCCCTGACTACGCGCTGCTGCGACTGCCGCGTCCTCGTGCCGTGTCAATCCGTGCGGGTGTCGACCCTGAACTTTTCCCGGTTTTTTTCGCGACCCAGCCATTTAAAAAGACAAAAATCTCGCTGCCGCTGGCCCCTGATGGTCAACGACGCTATGTCGAGATCAAGCTTCAGCAGTTTCCGTTCGTATGTGCTAACGGTGTACAAGGTCCAAGGTGAGAC